TGACTTTTGTCCCGGAACACCACAAGTTTAACAAGGTTGATTAAAACACTCAAAATTGAACGAAAGATGTAATCATCTCTTTTATATGTTTAAATTCATAGTGTGGAGGATATCATAAGGCCTTGAGGCGATCAGATGTAAAACACAATATTTATGAGTGTTTTAAGTAAATCGGTGAGATTTGACCTGGAAATGACAGGAAGGTTGATGCACTATCTACATTTTAAATGATTTCATTCATTCATTTTCTTGTCGGCTTAGTCCCTTTATTAATTCGGGGTCGCCACAGCGCAATGAACCACCAACTTATCCAGCAAGCTTTTACGCAGCGGATGCCCTTCCAGCCGCAACCCATCTCTGGGATTTTAAATGATTTAATTTCTTAAAATGAATTTACAACTAAAATAGTCTAATAATTAAATCCAAAATAACAAATGTTTTTTTTAAATTAAACTTTTACTTGATTTGACTGCTGGACTGCTCCATGTGTGGGGGTGTAAGACAAATGTTATTTTTGTAACAATTAAAATTCTTTCAATTTAGTTTGTTAGACGCTCACCCTACAACAAATATGATAGGAAATGGTAGAAGAATACAATGTTATAGGCATCATTTATATTTCTAGATATTTATTGGGGACCCAAAATTTCCTGGGGCCCTACTTACTTTGCTTATTGGTTAAATCCGCCCCTGACTATGATTTACAGTACTATTACATATCTATTATCTCTTAATAATCTTACAGTATACAAAACACAACACAAGAGAATCAATCCTCTGTGGTTTCCATCCCCACATTTCCAATATGTCCCTAACAGGCTGTACTTCTTTCCCCTCTGTGACAGATCAGAGACCGCAGTTCAAAGGGGTTTTGACTCTGATCCTTTATGTCCTGTTGCTTGGCCAGTGTGAGAATCTGACACCAAGACATTCCTGCAAATTCTTCTGGGTATTCAGCAACCTGCTGACTGCAGTGTCTGCAAGGAGACCACTGATATCAATAACAATGCCATATCTGAAGGAGATAAGAATCGCAAATCAGCCAACAACAAAAAAGACTAAGTACAGGCAAGTTACTGAGCCACACACACACACATAGTCCAGGTCTACTCAGATGGCGGGCACATGTCCAGCGTAAACAGTCCTTTACTAGCGGAAGGATGTTTTATTCATGAGCGCAAAGCCATCTCCACACATGAGCTATTATATTTCTCAACCCTCATTTATAGCTCTCATGTGCGACGCCCAGATAACAGGGGAAAATTGCCTGGAGGGCTGAGACGACACCGCAGGAAGTAACGCCGGCTATCATAACACCCAGCTGGAGGGATGACAGAGAAAGAGACATTTATCAACGCAGCAGAGGCACCTTTCAACACACGCCATGTACATCTCTATGCAGTGGCACACCTTCACAATCACTACAGCGGCCCACGTTAGGATACAAATCCAGGATATTTAGGGGTGTAACTGAAAGAGGTGAAGCTCAAGACGGAAAACAAAACAACAGCAGCAGCCAGGCACACACACATACACACCTTGCTGTGTCACTGATCACTGCTTTTGGGAACTGTGGGAAAGCATGTGCACAGAATACTTACAGATTTTTTTCCATAGAAAAACATTTAGGTTGAAATAGTTTGGGGTTGTTCACACCAAACTGTGTCGCTTGTATTCTTGTGTGAAACACAGTATTTTGAGTTGAATTAATGGTGGTGATGGATGAGGAGATTCCCTCCCAAAATGGAAAATCGCTATATAAATATAAGGATTTATTATAATTATAATTATTATTATTATTAGTAGTAGTATTATTAGTATTATTCCGTAAACTTATTATTATTATTATTATTATTATTATTATTATTATTGAATTAATTAACTTTTAGTGCTCAGAAAAAAACAACCAATCTTTAATATCTAAAACATGTCTAAATAAATAAATACAAAAATGATACTCCTCAAAATGTATACATACACACAAGTATATATGTATATATAAACACAAAATATGTATATATACACATTTTGGAAATGTTTACATGCTATCAGACCTTTATAATCGTAAAACAGTACATCCAGAGACATCCCAGCAGACATACATCATAAGACATTAATATTAGGTTAGATTTAGGTCACCAGTGTCTAAGGACAATGTTTTTTTAACGTCTAATAACGAGGTGAAATGACGTTGGTATTTGGATGATTTTAGATTGTGTTGGAAAGAGACTAATATCCAACGTCCAGCCAACATCTTAAACATCATATTCATGTCAAATACTGACACTTATTTTTCGGGTATGGCAACCAAAATCCAACGTCTGATAGATGTCATATTGGTAATGTCTACATAACATCAAGTTGTAACATGATTAGACGTTGATATTTGGTTGTTTTTAGGTTGCATTGGAAAGTAACCAAAATTAACATCTGTCGGATGTTGGACATTGATGTTCTGACGTCAATCCAATTTTCATTTTCCAACAAAATGCACGTTTAGGTACAAATTCAGTCAAAACTCATGTTGACGTCCTGTGCCTGCTGGGATGATAGTCATTCATACAGGTTTGGAACGATATGAGGGTGAATAAATCATTAGGGCTGCACGATATTGGAAAAATCCAATATTGCGACATTTTTTTTTTCCACAATAATTATTGTGATATGAATAAAGTGTTAGAAAATGATTTGAATAGCTCTATTTGATGATTTTCTGGGGAGTCTAACAGTATTCAGATACACAGGGCAGACATAGTGATTTGGGGGCCCTAAGCAATCACAGGTATATTGAAACTCAAAACACTTTCTTTCTCTATAGATATATAAAAAAAAATTTCGCAGTAGATTCATTTTTATTACATATTTTTTGTAAATAAACTGCATGTTAAAAATATATTTGAAGTGGAACCTTTATCTTCTTAATGTAAAATTAAATAGAATAAATTCACAACTAAAAAGCAATTTCATGTACAATTAATTAGCCATATTTGTGATTAGATTTTAATATTTGCATGTACAGAAGGAAAGCTCCACTATTCTGGTATATACACGGTTATAGACAGATTTTACAATATATGAAAGAACATTTTGTTAAAAAGCTAAATAAATAATATAGGCTTCTTAGCATTAGTCGGGCCCCTAAGCAGCTGCTTATCACACTTATTGGTTAAGTCCGCCCCTGCAGGTACAGAAATTTAATAATCACAATGCAAACTTCTTACCTCGTTTTGTCTTGTTTCTAGTCTAAATATCCAAAATAATCTTAGACCAAGTAAAAATATTATATAGTTTTCACTATCAGCAAAAAGTAAGTGACAATTAAGAGTTAAGGAAATTATCTGCCAATGAGGTGAGTAAAATAATCTTGTTTTCACTTTGAAATGTAGATATTAGGACTAGAAACAAGACAAAAATTCTAAGAAATGTTTTTTAGCATAAATCATATAAATTACATATACATACAGTGATTAAATACAATTCTGTAGCTCCTGGTCAACTATAATTCAGATTGGACATTGCGTATCTTTACGATGCCCACATTGCGATGCTGAAACGATATATTGTTCAGCCCTAGAAATCACTACACATTTTTAGTGAACTACTCCTTTAACCAGACAGATGTGGAAATCAGCTTTAGACCTGTTTTAAAAGGCTCCCCGGTATACATAATGGATGTTATGAAAAAGTTGTGCTTGTTTGCGGAGTGCTGAAATGCTATTTGTGAAGGCAGTCGCTGTCCATGGTGCTGAAAGAAACAGCATGCTCTTTTGAGACACACAGTTTAACATGCTTCCTGTTTCTTTGCGTGTGTGTTACATCTTTAGGCTTTCATGACACACTGCTTGCTATTTACCTGTAATTGATTGTCCCATATACATCCAAACCTCAACAGTGGAAAATAACTGGCATCCATAAGCATGCTTACAATCTGAAGCATCCTATCTAAAATATAGTTTTACTAATAAGAGACTTGTGTTTTGAATCATGAGTCTTTCACATATGTTTCTATAAAATCATCACATAGTACAATGAATACGAAATTCATTTTGATCTGCTTCTTGCAGTCTACAAAACGATATGATTCACAGAGATTACACATAGTTTCACATTCACTTGCAACGTGGTTATACACAAGCACATCCGAGACGTGTATCTTATGATAAACCTCACAGCCAAAGAATACATCATTCACAGATTAACATTTCAAAATCGCCTTGTTTTTATTGCAAACACACACTCACACACACACATATATATGCTGTAAGGTTTGATTTCGTGTCCTTATATACCTGCAAAGGAGAGAGTCTGTTCATCTTCGGTGAAAGCAAAGACGCACTGATTGATATTTCCCCCAAAGAAACAAATTATTCCCTTCATAGACACCTCAATTTGCACGATCTACGTGAAAAATGAGCACATCCAAAAATCACTCCACCTTAAAATCATCTGCAAAAGTATAAGGCATTTAAAAAAGGAAAAGAAAAACCAGCAAAAATAAACAAACGTGACAGGTAAGCTGCAAGAAAAGTTTCCATTAAAACGTCACCAGGTCTCAAAATGACTTTCGGGTAAAGAAAAGACCAAAATAAAAGCAAATGCTTCGCTCGGTGACATCAAAATCACAAAACTCTCATGAAACAACACCGCAAAATACAAGCAAAGCACGTCTACAGCAAAAGTCTACGGCAGAGAACAAAAAAGGAAAAAGGGTTCAAAACAAACATCATCGTACATACGTAAAAATGGACCCGCCAAGGCCATTTAAAAACCAGTTGCACGATTTCACACGACTGCAAGCACGTACTTGGCCACAAGTACTGAATAGCCCCGACAGGAATCACTGCATACTAAAAACTTGAGGTACGGATGGAAAAACGCCTCAAAACAACACTTTTTCAAATCTCAACGCTCAAACCCCAGCAAAAGGAGAGAGAAAAAAAATAAAAAAGAGCAAGTGAAAAGACAAAAAGGGTTACAAAAAGGCCTGGAAACGTACTCACCGAGAGGGAGTAAAATGTTGCGATAAAAATGCGTTATGGCACAAAACACAGTATGGCGAATGAAGCGCGTTCTCGGTCTGTGAGCCCTCGCTGCTGTCACGTGACTGCTGCTGCCTTGAGCGGCGGGAAGAGGAGCTGACAGGAGACGCCGTTAGTTAGTCGTTATCATTCCACACTGAGAGCCTTTCTGTGATTCTCCCGTTGTGTTTTTACCGTCTCTTTTAAGCTCGCGGAGCTCCCATGATGTCAGACTCAACGTAACGTCTAAAGAGAGCCTCGTCTCTTTTTTGTTCTTGCTGTTCGTCTTTCTGTTTTGTGACGATATACAAGTAATGTGTGCGCGCGCACGCGTGAGATATTACATCGCGGGTAATGTCGTTAATAACGTCACGAAATGCTGATTTAGTTCCGTGTTGTTGCTTTTTCACGGACGTTTATCTGATGCAAATGCCACCTTGTAGCATCAGTGCATTCCTCCTGTAACATTTATCTCGTCTAAATGAGGGAGCAGGACTCTCCTTCTCTCCTCTTCTTCTCCATATGGGAAAAAGATGTGTAGACCATAGTGAAATGCAATGAAACATTAAAAAATCCATTGCTAACTGGCCGTTGGATGAAAAAAAAAATCCTTCATGTTGCATACAAAGAAACATTGTTCTGAGGTAAGATATTGGAAAGACTGTCTAAATCAGCTGAAGTAATGATTACCAAAGTTAACTTCATGATTAAAATTTAAAAACTGTAACAGACTGATAAGATAGATAGATAGATAGATAGATAGATAGATAGATAGATAGATAGATAGATAGATAGATAGATAGATAGATAGATAGATAGATAGATGCAATGAAACATTGAAAATTCCATTAATAAACTGGTCTTTCATGTTGCTTACAAAGAAAACATTGTTCTGAGGTAAGATATTAGCAAGACTGTCTAGTTATCTCCATGATTAAAATGTTAAGTCTGTGAAAGACACTGATAAGATAGATAGATACTGAATTTAACTAAACCGAACTTCAACTCTGAAAACTGGACTGACAGTTTCAATTTACTAGAACGTCTATGTTAAGCTGCTTTGACACAATCTACATTGTAAAAGCGCTATTGAAATAAACATGCATTGAATTGAATAAGTAGACAGACAGACAGACAGATAGACAGATAGATAGATAGATAGATAGATAGATAGATAGATAGATAGATAGATAGATAGATAGATAGATAGATAGATAGACAATTTAACATAAGAGTATAAACATTTTGTGCATTTACACCTTTAATTGGGCTATGAAAGAAGGTAAAATTCCTCCATCATGGAAAGAGGCTATAATTACCGTTATTTTAAATGAGAAAAAGGACAAGGAATATTGCCAAAATTGCTTAATACAGGTTACAAAATCTACAATTCTATCTTAGCATCTCAAATACAAGCATTCTCACTGGATTTGCTAGAGGAGAACTAAACAGGATTTGTAAAAGGCAGTTTCATCTAAATAATAAGACTCATTAAAATAAACTTCCTGTTGCCCTAATAAGTCTTGATGGAGAAAAGTCTTTTGACAGAGTCAGTCGGGAGTTTCTGTACTTGGCATTAGAAAAGACGGGCTTTAGATGGTCCAGTGGATAAAGTCATTATATCAAAATCCAACAGCAAGAGTGAGAATCAAAAATTGTGTCTACAGATAGGAAGTGGACAAGGATGCTGTCTTAGTCCTTCTTTTTTTGCTTTTTATTAAGAATTGTTGGCTCATTTAGTTAGGCAGCATTCAAAACATTTTTTACATTTCAGTTTTCACCTAAAAACAATGAGGCACTTGTTAATATGGCTACATTTTTCCTCGGTGTTGCATAAGTTTTAGTAATGCCTAAATATTTTATTCATAATGTTTTATTATTTGCATTTTTTCATTGGCTTGCCACCCATCACCTTGGATTCCAGCTAATTGGCAATCAGAGTTGCATAAACATAGCCAGTATGCACTTGTTTAAACAACTACCAGTTAAAGAAAGGGTTATACATCTTACTTTTCGGATTGAAGTTAGCCCAATTTACCTTTTGTAACTTAATTTAACAGATATGAGCAGTCTTTAAGGGGAAAAAAATAGGTAACACTTTATTTTGATGGTCTATTTGAGTATTATTAGACTGTCTGCTTAATATCTGTTGATACTGCTCCTGCAACAGATATTTAACTGATTATAAGAAACTAACCCTAACCACAACCCTAACCCCAACCTAACAGTCTACTTATAATCTAATGAGAATTAGTTGGCATGTAGAAGCAATGTAACTTAATTCAACAAATGGACCATCAAAATAAAATGTGACCAAAATGTATATGGCTAACTTTTTATGACTAGCCTAAGTGTTTTATATAACTGGCCGCTGATGTAGGCCGCTGAAGTAGTGCTGAATGATTTGGCAAAAATGCAATCTCGATAACTATTTTCCATATTGAATGATACTGATATACATGTCTATATAAGTTGTTAATGCTTCCAGATTTAAAAGAGTACCCCTACAATGACTAAAGCCACAAAAAAATGGAGTGTCCATTAAATGGCATAACATATTTAGGGATGATACATTTTCAGTGGCCAAAAATTCAGTGCATCTTTAATATCAACATGCCTCTAGATTCCCATTGTTGCACATTTCTGCTGTGTGTTTGGCTCTTAGATCAATATAAAGTGAAAAGTCCAGAGCTTATCCTTGTTATTGACCTATGTCGAAGTTACCGGCTACATGAAGAGCAAACAAAAGTGTTCTATAATAAAAAAGCCTGGCTAAATGAGTTTAAATAAATGCTTTGATGGTGCTTGAGATACTGTTAGCTCTCAAACATTCAATCTTATAAGAGGATTTACATTCAGCTACTGTCATTTAACATAACACAATTCATAGATAAGTTAATATAATGTATAAACATTGGTTGTAATACACTGAAAAAAAAATATAGCAAACTAGGACATGGTGAAGCACGTCCTAATACACGATGGCATGCTGAGTCTGAACAATCCATGCATAATACAGGCGCTGTGATGGAGTTTGTAAGCTTATCATGCCTGACCAGGTAGAACATGCGAGACACACTGCAGAGAACATGCAGGCTGATAGGTTGTTGCAGTGCCTTTTTCTTTTTTCTCCTTAAGTTTCCAGAGCCTGAGTTGCCCTTGAGCATTTACTCTGATGGCATTGGTCCAAAGGCCTTTCTTTTTTTTTTTCAGGGGACCAAGCCAAGAAATACATGCACAGCCTTGGACTGAGCAAACATGTCCAGTGATTTGGTATTTTATGAACTCATTGCTAGATGTGAAGCATTGATGGCCGTCCACAGCTCATTAACTCAACCTTCAGTTTGCCAATAACCGCAAGTGTCATTAGGAGCAGTAAGATGCGCAACTTGTTATGAACTGCAATACCCTACTGTCAGATTCAATCGCTAACATCCGTCCCTTCCAAACCATGAGTCAATGGCAGGAAAATACACTGTAAGAAGCCGATGTTTATCACGCGAGGCATTATTGGCCTGCTCAAGAATTCCTCAGCAACCTCCACCTAGTGAAATATTAATCAATAAATGTGTATGCATTATTTATCAGCTGATTCAAGAAATCGGGCGTCCTTTTTTGGTGCTGCGGTAAAATAGCAAACGTATAAATATCAGGATAGAGGGAAAGAAGCGCATTCTTTTGTGCTTTGTGTGTACATTGTGTTCGCTGACAGATCATACGTTATTGCGTTTGTTCTGCTGGCTTTAATACAGCACTGCGGCTCGCTCCCACAATTCTGTGTAGTAAATCAAAGGGGGACTGGATGAAACTCTGCAAATATTTGCAAATCTTTTTTGTAATGAAATTAACACAAAGTCTGACAGCGCAAGTAGAGCACATGCTTCTTATTTCAGCTCATCAGAGCAGGCTTTATGCATTCTAATCTCCATTGTTCAGCCAGATGAAGTTTGGGAATATTTCTAGGCAATTATTTCAGAAATGCAGTGATCTCAGCGTATGGTTACGTAAGAGCGAGTTTCAGCACTAACACTCGAAGCTGCCAAAGAACACAGCGGGTGACACGGTGGCTCTTGGTCAGCGCTTTTTATTGTTTCATGGTGGACTGAGTTTATCGCTGCATTTTAAATTTCTGTAACACAGCTCTAAAGCCCCCGGCCTGGCATACACTAACCGGACTTTTTTTCCATGAGCGATTTATATGCAACTTCAGAACATACAGTAGGATGATTCGTATTTTCTAGGTTGCTGCCTTTCAGCAGCGCTGGAGTCATGCAATTGTTTACTATAGTTTAAAAACAGATTGATGATTCATTTTTAGAAATGCGTGCCTTGCACAGACAGATGGCTTCTTCTCCGCAGGGGTGTTTTTGTTTGTTTTATTTTTTATCTTGCTTACCAAGTAGCTTTTTCTCACTTAAGGGAATTCTTCGGGTTTTTTTCTCATCATTGTTGGCCCCGTTTTGCTTTCTCTGAATTAAGGTATGGGCTCTCTGTAAAGTTTCTTCATTGCTAAACCACTTTTTAAAGAGGTCATGAGGTAGGAAATGGAATTCTCCTTGTTCTTGTGACATTTGAGATCAACTACTACACATATGAAAATCTACTACTATAAAAGCTCCTGTATGTTTCAAAACTAAAAATGTTCATTCATTTTCTTTTTCGGCTAAGTTCCTTTATTAATCTGGGGTCACCACAGCGGAATGAATCACCAACTTATCCAGCACGTTTTACGCAGCAGATGCCCTTCCAGCTGCAACCCAGTACTGGGAAGCACCCATACACACTCATCCACACACACTCATACACTATGTCCAATTTAGTTCATCAATTCCCCTTCAGCACATGTTTTTGGATTTATTTATTTTTTTGCACCTGGAGGAAACCCACACGAACACAAGAAGAACTTACAAACTCCACACAAATGCCAACTGACCCAGCCAGGACTCGAACCAGCGACCTTTTTGCTATGAGGGGATTGTGCTACCCACTACGCCACCATGCCACAACTAAAAACGTACTCACAGTAAAAGAAGGACGCTAGATGTTGCACGGTGGCTCAGTGGTTAGGACTGTAGCCACACAGCAAGAAGGTTGCTGGTTTGAGTCCCAGCTAGGCCAGTTGGTATTTCTGTGTGGAGTTTGCATGTTCTCCTTGTGTTCATATGGGTTTTCTTTAGGTGTTACGGTTTCCCCAATAGTCCAAAGACGTGATATAGGTGAATTAGGTGAACAAAAATGGGCTGTAGTGTATGGGTGTGTTTGTGAATGAGTGTGTATGGGTGTTTCCCAGTCCCGGTTTGCGGCTGGAAGGGTAAAACATGCTGGAACAGTTAGCAGTTTATTCCGCTGTGGCAACCTCTGATAAATCAGAGACTAAGCAGAAGGAAAGTAATGAATGAAAGTTATTATAATATGTTAATCCAGTGGTTCTCAAACTTTTTTCACCAAGTACCACCTCAGAAAAAAATTGTCTCTCCAAGTACCACCAAAATGAGCAGTGTTAAAATACAGTAGCGTAGTAGGCCTAATTAGGCAGCTACAGCACTGCACAGTTCAAAAACAAGGCAGAATAATCCCTATTATTATGAATATTTATCTTTGTCAGCCTTTAAACATTGTAAAAATTTGAACTTTAACAATGACCTGTGC